GCACAGCTCCAAAAAAGTGCCCAGCACGAAAAGGGAAACTACACTGCTGAACAGCTATTTCCAGAGTGGACGGTGGAAAGAGTTAAACACCCAGCAAACCGCACCTTCCTGCATCCTCTGCCGTACGCTTCAACGCCAGAAGCTTCATAGAAACCCCAGGATAAATTGGCTTTGTGCTTTGGTGTGGGCGCAAGGGGATAAAGATTGCCTGCAGGCATGCACGTCTATAACGTATTTAGGGAACTGGTGTTGTCAGGCTCTGCGTGCCCGTGTGCGGCACGGAGCATGAGGCAGCTCACGCTCCCCAGCGAGCGGGAAGGGAAAGCGGGAATTCAAGCTGGGTGAGGGCTGTTTATGCATATGTTAGTCAGCAGGGTGGGAGAGGGGGTTAAATAACTGTTACATGCTATATTATGTACTATCCTACAGCAACATTTCATTATGTGTAACTCTCCTTACTCCTCTCCGTGTAATAAATACAGCCCAGGAAATTCCGTAATGCTAAAATTAGCAGCCAAGTCTCCATTCAGATCTCAGACTAGAGATAATCCTGTGTCAGCACGATAAATATGTTAATAGAAGACCAATTTGAATTTCTCCCTAAAGCATAGATCTGCTATGAAAAGCATATTGGTTTTAATCCCTTCCGCTGCCATGGGCACCCCTGTTCCTCCTGGCTAAGCTGAGTCCTGCTGTGCAGGCAGCGGGTAGCAGGGCCCCTCTGTCCCCTGGGGCGACCGGTGCCACCGCACAGGAGCAGCTTGGGGGTCAGCAGCAACCTGCAGCCATTTCCACGAAGCGCAAAGCAACTTTCTCCCCCCGGTCCTCCAGCTTTGATGCTTCCCAGCAGGAGGGATGTGGTGTCCAGCCCCAGTTCTCTGGGCTGCAGAAAAGCCAGTGCTACACCCATCAGCTCAGCACCCAGCTGTGCACCAGCACACAGGGAATGGCAATAAGAAACTGGGGACTAAAACCATTTTTTATTAGGTCAGTGGGAAAACACTGAATCATTAGCATTTTTTAATTGCTCATGGTACTGCGTATGTAAGAGATGATGATGAACGCTAAGCAGAGGGCTTATCCTCCTTCCCTTTGCAGTGCTACGTGATTCCTCTGCAGCTTAGGTTGGTTTGCTTGCTTTCTCGTGCCATGTGTCCTGAGCCTGGCTGTGGCACCTGGTGTCCCTGTTGTCCCCAGGGAAGGCTGTTGGGCTGTGGCACATCTCCTTTCCCTGCAGCAAGCCCAGAGGACGGCTACGAGGATGGTGAGGGAACTGGAGCATCTCTCCTATGAGGAAAGGCTGAGGGAGCTGGGCTTGTTCAGCCTGGAGAAGAGAAGGCTGCGAGGGGACCTTAGAAATGCTTAGAAATATCTGAAGGGTGGGTGTCAGGAGGATGAGGCCAGACTCTTTTCAGTGGTGCCCAGCGACAGGACAAGGGGCAATGGGCACAAACTGAAGCACAGGAAGTTCTGTCTGAACATGAGGAAAAACTTCTTCACTCTGAGGGTGACAGAGACCTGGAACAGGCTGGCCAGGGAGGCTGTGGAGTCTCCTTCTCTGGAGATATTCCAGACCCTCCTGGACAAGGTCCTGTGCAGCCTGCTGTAGGTGACCCTGCTTTGGCAGGGTGGTTGGACTAGATGACCCACAGAGGTCCCTTCCAACCCCTACCATTCTGTGATTCTGTGATTCTGAGCCCACAGCCCTGGCTCATGCCTCGATGCAGGGCATCAAAACGCAGTTCAAATATTGTATTTTTCACAGGCCAAGTCAAACGCAATACCTGAACGAGAAGACTGCGAATGAGGGTGACCGCACTCAGTTGATCCAGGAGGTAAATGCCATCTCCACAGCGCTGGGTGGGGAGGACCACTGCAGACCTACACCCGCCTCGAGGATCTAGAGAGGGGATGGAAGGGGGGGGGCTTTCCCTTGCCTCCTCCCCTACGTGCAACAGGGGCCATTTTCCAACCAGGCGTTGTATAAGCCATGAGAAACGTGATTGAATCACACGCTTCAGAGTGCTTGCTAATCTCTGTTCTCATAAACCAAGCAGGTAAATATAGATCAGTTATTGCCCGGGTTTATCAGGGTGTATTTGAGCAGAAGCCGGGCTGTCGATGCATTATGCAGACAGCGAGGACGCACCCCTAGCATTAATCTGGTTTGTCTAATTGATGTGTTCGTTTTAATTCGGCTGACTGGATACATTAAGAAATTGCTCATTCACTCCTCCTGGTTTTTAATTGAAATCTACTTTACTGCACCCAAAAGCAGGAAACAAAGCAAACGACTTTCCCATGTGCCCCACACAGAGGAGAGGGCACCAGCTCCTTCTTCAGCACTCGTCTCCAGCTCCTGAAAACATCACCTCAGATTAGGTAAACCTTTGCATAAAAGCCATTAACTCCTCTGTGGAAAAGCCCAGTGGATTTTTCCATGACATGTAATTTCTAAAAGCCTGTCTTTATAAATCTGCAAAGTTAAGGGCCAGGAAAATAACAATAAACCAAAAAAAAAAAAAGGCAGAATAGGCAAGAATGGGTCAATGTAAACAGCATTTCATTTACGTACAATACACTTGATTTCAAGAGGTACATCATGTCTGTACCCGACCCATTCCAAACCCCATTCCTCAAAATGTGTACTTTTTAGCATTAGAGCTAACTGAATTAGAATCAGTACTCTTATTTGTTTTGCATTCTGGATCAACCTTTTTTTCTGTCTACATACTAGTGGAAAAAACTTATTTTTTCCTTAACTTTCCAGTCCTTCCCTTGCATTGTAAGAGCAGAAGCTTTTTGCATACTAGCTGGCACATCAGTGATGAAAAACATGCTGTCCTAATATCCTCCCCCAGCACTGCAGAAGCTTGCTTGAAACCTATTTACTGCTAGGATGCGCATATTAATGTCTTGTCTTATTTGCCTCAAGAAACAGAAAGGGGGATATTTTAAGTTACTAGAAGATACACAAACTAGCCAAAAATCCAACCTTCATTTTCTAGAGAAGCCATCTGGTTCATGTTCCTTCTTTTGCCTTAGTTTTAAAGCATCTTTGGGGTACTCTCACAGACAACAGTCCCTCATGTATCAAGGGAGGGTCATTAAAGGATGGTTGCCCCATGCCATGGGGACCTATGCCAGAGACCTGACACGCGGCAAGTCATTACACCAAAGCCCACGGAGCCGGCAGCTACGCGGCTCGAGATCCCATTAGCTGTTCATAAGTGAGCTGGGATCCTGATCGCTGATAATGATATAATGAATACCAAATTAAAACCTAAAACTATGCTACCACAGGCTATGATCTTATCAACCTCCCCTGAAAGCCGAGCTGCATCGGGCCCTGCCAGTTCTTGAACAGGAGGCTTCAACTAATGTGCTGCAGGTAATTCAATCCGTGCCACGCTGCTCTTCCAAGCAGCATTCAGCCAAGGCTGCATTACGATATTAAATCCACAGTGACTTCAGAGGTGTAGGCTTTGGCTCATCGTCCTTCAGCTGAGATACAAAATCATACAAATGATTTTTGTATCTCAAAAATACAAAATCAGGTTGAACAGACCTGGAATGACCTAGCTGAAATATCTTGGCTGAGCTTCAACTGAGAAATTGCGTTTAGTCCAAGGAAAACGGCACTACGGTTTCATCTGGGCAACATTTTCGCCTTCAGTGCTGAACCTTCCCAGCGCTGCCCTTCGGCTTTAGCAGTGAGAAATCACCGGGGAATAGCAGATCAATAGAAATGTCAATGACAACAAGCTATCAGATCAATATAGCTCCCTTTTTTCCTGCAGTGCCACCAGTTTCGGAGCAGCTCTCCGGCTGAATAGCTGATGCCACGCAGTTTCAGTCCACGGGATATTCAGACACCTTCCCTGCAAGGCCTACTTCTGGGACAACAGCAGTTATTCTGGACACGCAAAAAGCTCCACTTTTGTGGAAAACAAACAACAGACAATAAACCCTCTTATTTGCATGCAAAGCAAACGCGCTCGCACAAACAGCAGCGTCTCTTCAAACCCCGGGATGGGCAAAGCCCTGTGCATGATTAGTAGCAAGATGGATAAATCAAGCAGGCAGTTACAATGCCCAGGAAGTATTCCCATCTTTTTCCTTGTTTGCACCCTAGAAAAATATGTTTGGGTGGTTTTTTTTTTATTCAAGCAGAAATAGTTTGTTCTCTGGGTAAAATTTGGCAAGTAAATGCTGAAATACTCTGAAGACCACTAATTTTAATCCGGTGCTCTCAGCAGTAGCGCGTCAGCTATTTGTCCACAAAACCAAAACAAACAATGTGGTCTAAAGCTGTTTTCACTGAACACAGCAGAGACAGCTTCTCCTGCGTGTGGGTAGCCCAGCAGAGAGCAAGCTGGACCTGTCCCTGTAGCGTGTCGCAGTGGGGACAAATGGCTCAGGGATTCTCCCCAGCCCTGTGCGCAGCATGGGGGGTACCACTGCCCACCCAGAGCCCTGCTCTACAACACGACACGGGTGATGGGGAGCTCAAAGGAGTCCAGGATAGGCACCGTGAGAGGCAACAGGGGAAAGCAACGGAGATCAAACACAGCCTGGTGCGTGGAACATCACAGCAGAGCACGTCAGCCCCCCGATAGCCTCCCAGAAGCAGCAGCCCTGCGGTAACACGTCTTCCCCACCTGCTGCTCGTTGCAGGTGAACCGGGCTATGAGATGTGTCCTCTTGCCAAAGCCTTGCCCTCCAAGCACTAGTACACTTTCAAAAAAAACATTTAAAGCACCTGTTCTTAAAGCAAAGGAAAAATGTACTTTCTGAGCTCTTTACTGGTACAGTGAGTTTCTGCCTAAAATTAGCCCAGCATGGCTCCTGCTAGAACCACAGCTTTACTGAGATGAGTAGATGGCTACACCAAGCAATCCTCTGCAGCTTCAGAGGCACCTTTTCGCAGGGCACATGAGGGGTGGCAAACATCACGACACACCACTCCGGTGTAAGCACTGAACCGCCAGAATGGGGCAATGCCCACAGATGCAGACTACGTGTTGTACATCACATCAAACTCAAGGCGGCTGGCAGATTTTGCAGAGCTTGAAGGCATCAAGTAGGTGCTGCTCTGCTGGGGAGAACCTGACGGGAGGCAAACTCATTCCTAACACAGTCAGAGATGGTACCTAGTGGTGACTCCACATCCAGAGTCACATCCTGAGTGTGATCTGCCAATAAATCCATCAACCCTCCCGGCGCTGGTATCATTTTTGTGCTATGGTAATTTACGTGTCACCCTTCGAACAGATAACTAAGACCAAACCCTGCCACCAGCTGCACCCCTGTTGTTTTAACTGAGATCCAGAAGAGCTAAACCCATCTGCAGGACAGTGGGAAGTGATACGCAGCCATGTATCAAGTTTCACTTGATTAAGACATAATCATCATGGCATACGTGGTGTGACCTGGGTGGACAGTTGCACTTACCGGCTACACAGCATCCGTTAAGGTTAAACCATGGGATGAAGAAAATGAGAAGACAACAAACGTGCTTCTGCCTGGTTTGTTGTTAAAAGCAGCCTTCTCTGGATAAGAGAAAATCGTGTGTTGTGCTTTAAATAATGCAGCAGCCTCCAAACACTGAATCATTTAATCCCCTCTCACCGGTGACTGCTTGATCCCAGCCTCCCCCAAAGGCACCTCTGCAGCCCCTCTCCCTGCATGGGAAGGGAAGCCCCGCTGGGGACTGCAGCTCCCTGTCCTCAAGAAGGGGTGTTCCCAGATGGGTCCCCCACCCCATGCAGCTCCTGGCCCCATCACACGGGTCTTGATCTGCCCGTGCCCAAGGTTAACGTAGCCGTTTTGGTACCTGCGGGAGCTCCATGTTGACAGCACGACCAAAGGGCATCGCTAATTTTGCAGGCACCAGCGACAGCCTCCAGCCAGGACAGAGGCCACAGCTCATGCTGGGACCAGACTGGGGCTGTACATTTACATACAGCTCTGAAAGGGATTTCTTTAATGCTCCGTCACCCTGTCTCTAAACGGGGAACGTGCCTGATGGGTGCATTACCCGTCTTCTCCACTCAACCTGGTTTGGAGGATACTGACAAAGAAAGAGCGAGCCTGGGAGAAATCTTAGCTGGATAAAATCAAACGGCAAAGCATGCCCAGGATTCTCTGTGCTGGGATTTTACCCCAGTTTCTGTTTATACCCATGCACCATTGAGGTTCCTCTCCCAGGCAGGGCCGAAGCACCCTAATACAGGTTTATGAGAAACATCCACGCTGCTGTTTTCTTTTAATCTGTCCAAGATGCCACGTAACAGGGCAGATCAACCCTTTCCATTGCTCTAGGCAGAAATTAAGCCCACGGCCAGCTCCACTATAGACAAGTAATTTACACAATGAAGGGGATGCCCTGTGAGTGCTGGGCTCATTCCCTGCCCGGCTCTGTCAGGGCTGCAGTCCCTGTGCATCAGGGTAAGACTTTGCAGGGCCGGGGAGGAGGGACGTGCAGCTCACTACTCCAGGCACTTTCTTTCATCCACCCAGCTGAATTGCCCCAGTGAGGTCAGGGTCCCATAACGTGCATAGAGACAGGCTCTCACCCAAAGAAATCACAGCCTCTGCGGCCAAGATGCCCACTGAGACAGGGCAATATTTTCTCTATCATTCCACAGCATCTGGACTGCAAAGAATAATGAAGCTCATCTAAGTCTTCAGTCCAGGCTTTAATTACAGGACTACCCATCTTCACGCTGGTATACATCGTCCCACCAGTCATCAACAGATCAGGCAGCAAGATTAATCCCTTTTCTTATCCTCCTACATTAATGCCTCCACCACTTTGACCCCTGTAGGGTACTCACTGAGGTTCCAGCTGGTGCAAAAGAAAGAAAAAGAGTGGCCACGCATTCCGGCCACATTTCTAAAAATACCGGCACTTGTGGAGGGCTCCATCTGGTCTCTGCTCAGAGACACCGTCCACTGAATGTTGCAGTGGTTGTTCAGGAGCTACTGCTGTTCAGCGAGTTATCTTGTGATGCCCCAGACCAAATCAGAGCAAGAATGCTTGCAAAGCCATGGACAGGAGCTGTCGGCCATGCGGAGTGAGCAGGCGGAGGTCTAACCACCTCCCACCACTGCATCCCAGTGGCTGCTTGATCGGACACCCCTGTGCAGCCTGGTGCTTGCAGGCAAAAGCAGCACTTTTCTATGAAACACCAATCTCTCCTAAGAGCCAGCTGACACTGCAGCCGCCTTCACAAAATGATAAGCGCATGATGGAGACTGTGCCCTCGGCCCCGCTTGTCTAACCAGAGCTGCTGGAGGGACCACAGCCAGCGCACACGGGCACGGAAGTGGCAAGGGGAAAATGCTGCAGCTTCTCCCTCTTGATGCCCAGTGGAGCTCAGGAGTAAACATTTGAAAATACATAGTAATTTTAAATTCACATGCCTGTTTCAAATGCAATTTCTGATTGGAATTTTATTCAAAAACAGTTTTTCTTCTACAACTTCATTGTTTCAAACAGCTTTTTCTTTGGAAACATAACCCAAATCAGTGCGCCTTTGCAAAACCAACAAAAAATGTGACGGGGTGACCAAGCATACACATTGGGAGCCCAATGTAAATCCAAGGGGAACCCAAGAAATCTCTCCTCAAGAGCCCATCAGTCAGTTTTGATCACGGCAAAGCATTTTAAGAAACAACATCAAGGAAACCTGAGCAAAATAAAGGAATTCAGGATGAGCCTTTCCTTTCTGCGGAGGTTGTATGAAGAGAAAGAGGCCCATGAGGTGAGGATGCTGGAAGCTGTAGAGGGACTTGGAGGCCAGCAGGCCAGGAGTATGATGACTGTCCTAATAAAAAGCTCTGCAGATCAAGAAATAGCCCAGAAAACTGCAGGAACCATGGTATTTAAATGGCACAATTAATTAGTCACAGATCAGACAAGTATAAGGGGATTATGAGAGAGGTAAACAAACATTTTAATGAAAGGAAGAAAGAAAATCAATTGAGCGGCTTCTGCCCGTGTGCATTCAGAGTCACAAAAAAGAAAGTTATGCCCCATGAAATAGGGAAGGCTGTATTTGATGGTGATAAGCAAAATAGCCAAGATAATGAGATAGCAGCTGGTGGAGATCCCCGCTATAAGGTGTTCTTGAGGCCAAAGCCTTGGTCACATTCAAAACAAGATTAAGTATTTAAATGACTAGTCAGATGGCCACTTGCTGTTACAGAAAAATGGGGAGAAATTATTTTAGTCTAGAAACTAGGCAGTGCCTGGGGACAGAGGAAATACTGCCACAAAGGTATCGTCGTGTGCTTGGCTGTTACGGGAAATTTCACCCTAATCTGAGGGTGACCTCGCTGATGGGACTTGCTAGAGGGTAACTTGGCCTCATCCAGTTCTTTATCTAGGTGACAGACTGACATTTAATCAACTTGAAGAGAACCATTAGAGGGGCAGCTGCAGAAATTCATCTTCCTGCAAGACCGCAAGTTACAAAACTCATGCGAACAGGGTAAGGATTAACGAGAAAGAGCTTAAGCGAGCCTCCGACAAAACATTTGCACTGTTTATTACTTGAGGAGGTGGCAGGTTGTGGCGGGTAGCTAACCATAGGTACCACTGGAAAAAACAGGGGCAAACGTATAAAAAGTAGACCAAGGTTGGACTGCAACAGGGTCTGGGAAACTGTTATACAGCCAAGTCTGCCGGAGTGAGGGGTCTGAGCAGCAGAGGGAAGGTGGACGGCAGGGGTGGAATCGTGGTACCGCACAATGATTTGACAAACTTGGGTGCTACAAGTATTTGCTAAGAGGACACAAAACCCCTCTTTGCTGATACCAACCAAACTGCCAGAGGTTTAGATTGGATATTAGGAAAAATTCCTTTACTGGAAGAGTGGTCAGGCATTGGAACAGGCTGCACAGGGAGGTGGTGGAGTCACCATCCCTGAAGGCGTTCAAAAAACATGTAGTTATGACACTTCAGGACACAGTTTAGCAGGCATGGTGGTGATGGGTTGACGGTTGGACTTGATGATCTTAGAGGTCTTTCCCAACCTTGATGATTTTGTGATTCTGTGCCAGATGTGCCAATAGCACCAGCCTGGGGATCAGCCCTCAGGGCACATAATCCCATGCTCTGGTACATCCACCCCAGGGTGTAAATACGACTCGAATGACTCTGGTCCCACCAGCAGTTGAAGTCCCATTAAAACTTGGCCACACTGACAACCGTTTCAGAAGCACCCCCTCCTGTGTCCTTCCCCCACACACGCCACAGCCACAGAGGAGTCGGATCTAAGTGCGAAATGCTGGTGGTGTCCCCAGCTAGAGGTCATCACGATCTTAAAAGCGCTGCAAAACAAGATGCAGTAGCGAATGGAGAAGCTTTTCTCTTTTGCTTAGGTCTAGTCAAAGGGAAGCTCCGGAGATCAGCCACCCACAGCTGCATCTAGCGTCCACGGATTGAGCAAACACAGCCGGGGGAAGTCAGTGACTGGGGAGAGAAACAACAACCAAACAGGAAGCATGGGAGCTACAGGCAGGGACAGGAGAGCAGCTGCAGCCCTGAGTGTTGCTTCAATCAAAGAAGAAGGGAAAGAATAAAAACAGGGTTTCAAAACTGTTGGTTGTGAGGAGGGTAACCGACTGGCTGCACGTTGGCTCCAGCGAGGCTTTTTCTGCTGCGCGGTGGGCTGTGTGCTGGCCCAAGAGGCAGGAAGGGAACGGAACATGGTGTCATCCTGTGATGACACCTTCTGCTGACCAGCAGTAATCTGGGAGAGGTCTTTTGTATTCTTGTTTGGGAAAAGAGGGGCTACACGCAGACTGCTGCGAAGGAGGGAAGAGACGGAGGTAAAACTGAAGAGGGGAAAAAGCCTAGTAAGAAACGGGGAAAATGATGGCATTCATCTGGAAAGCCACTAAAAATCCTGCAGAAATCAAGGCTGGAAAGGAAATCAGAGATGACGTGCGGTCCACAATCCTGCCCAAAATCAGGATCATGGACATCCTGGCTAGGTTTATCTGTGCAGCAGGGCTGTCTGTAGGTTCCCCAGAAGGTCACCGCCATTGGTGCGGTTCCTGTCAGGGTCACTC